GTCTCACTGCTCACTTCTGTCTTTTATATCTCAAGAGATTGCCTCAGGACACAATCCAGTCTTGTAGATCCAGTCTTGCCTTACTAACACAACTGTCACCCATCCTCCCTCATTAACATCGTAGAGGCAGGATTTACAACATACAGGAAAATCACACAGTACCAGGAATCATGGCCCAACCAAACTGACATACACATTTTTGGGGGGACATAGTTCAAACCATGACAGATATATTAGGTTAAATAAAATATAAAGATTAATTTCATCTATTTCTTTTTTACATTTTTAATATGACTACTAGAAAAATTTAGATTACTTACGTGGCTCACGTTATTTTTCTATTGGAGAATGCTACTTTAGCCTGTCAGATCTGGAAGTTTCTTAGCAATCATCTGGTCTAGGACCCTCATTGTATGGTTGAAGACGCTGAGGCCCAGAGAACCTGGCAGTCTTATCCCTTGTGACTAGTAGACCGTGAGAGGCCCAGAATGGTGGAGCCTGGGCTCTGAGCACTGGTCATTGGGTCTACTCTCTGCCCTTGCACTGACTTCAACAGAGGAGCCTAAAAGAGAAGTATTTCCAGATTAAATTCTCATAAATAACATACACTGGGCTTTGATTTTTAAAAAAATCCCTCTCCTAATTCCTAATTTGAGGGGGAAAGATCATACTTATTCTCTCCAATATGTATAACATTTAAAAATATAATGGCAAGTTTCATTTTAAAGTTTATTTAAGGTAACCACTAAACTATATGCAATGCAGCCCTTGAGTGGAACAAGCGGTTAATGCCCTTGACTTGGCTGCTAACTGAAAGGTTGGCAATTAGAGTCCACCCAAAGGCTCCTCACCAGAAAGTCCTGGTGATCTACTTCCAAAAAATCGGCCCCTGAATACTCTATGGAGCACAGTTCTACTCTAATACACATGGGTTGCCATGAGTCAGAATCAATAATACGAAAGGCTGTAAACCTAATTTTTTTTTTAAACTGGAAGGCATAGAAATACAAAATATCTGTTCCTGTTAATAGAGCCTTTTTTTTTTTTTTTTTAACCAATAAAAGGCTTTCTTTTTAAGAGTTTGACTTTACTGGTGAACTTATCTTAAAAAGAAAAAAGAAAGCAAGAAGCCTCACTTTGCACAAATAATATGAATTATTCTCCCATCCACGTCTGGCCTTGGCCCCAGCAGACCCTCTGCATTGAGTAGAGATTGGAGCACTTGCATAATGAACCTGAGGTTAAGCTCAAGTTGACAGGAAAATTATAGTGTAGAAGCTGAATGTTTCTAATGCATGTTTTATGCCGTTTGAAGTAAGAATTATACTTTATAATGAATGGTGTCTCTAAGGAGTTGAGTGTGATGAGCAAATCATCAAAACTAGAGATTCAAGACTGGAAATGTAATGGTTTGCCTTTCCCATAATGTTGGGTGTCTGGCTTCTTTCTGAAATAATTATATTCAAATATGCTTAAGGTAAAATAAATCAGGAGTGGATTTAGTTTTTTAAAAAGTATCATTTACGAGTTTTATAATGGAGGTAAATAGCTTATTCATCTCATTGCTGTTTCATTCCTTCCCTTTGTCACTTCCATTTCTCTCTCGTTTTTAGAACTGCTCTAATGTTTCTGCAAAGAACCTACAGCAGCAGCTGGAGATCCTTGAGGGGGACAGTGTGAACTGTCGTGCCCAAGCCGAGGAGTATAATCGAGCCCTGTCCCGCAGCTTGCAGTACTGCACCGCAAGAGACGAGATAAAAGAGGTGGGGGGGGGGGTGAGAACTGACATGCTGCTAAAAGCTGCTCTGAACCTACAGCTTGTGATAGTGGATCAGGTTTCTTTCTTCTCACCAAGTCCTTTAATCCACTGAGCAGTAGCTTCAGGCCTAGCGGACGTTTGAGTAGAAACCTAAGGCTCTCAAACTTGCTGAAGTCAATATGTTGTCAATGCATAGAAAAACTTAGAATGTAGTATTACAGTTTTTTGTGATTTTTTTGGTTTTATTTTGTTTTGGTTTTATTTTTCACTCAAATCCTCATAGTAGTTGCTTGTTTACATGTATACAGATTTCTCAGAACACAGAAGATAGGATGACACTGTCCCATTGCGGCCAGCTCCAGCCTGCTGGGATTCTATTTAAGTACTATTGACTCATGGTAAATGGGTGCTAAGGGCCAGGGGAGCATGCTTTTCCCTTCAGAGGCTTACAAAGTGTTATCACCAAAGTCAAGAGGTTGGTTTCGTATTTACTCAAACTGAGTAGCTGTTCTGGCAAAACAACTTAGAGAAAAAGAAATAACAGGTAAAAGTGGTCCTCCACATCCATGCCCCCACACTCCCATAATTCCACCTCCTTCCTCTCAACTCTAGACTGCCCCTCCTTCCCCACCCCAGACACTTGCTAAATCACAACCACCCCTCTCCCCTAGCTAAGTTTTCCGTTCAAAGGCTTGTTTTAGGTAAAAAACACAGATCAGGGTAGCAAGGGTCCTGCTTCTTGACTGGGATTAGAACACAAGGGTATCCATAATTCCAGATTTATCTCCATTTCTGCATCCTTTAGTCATCAATCCATGAGGAAAGGGAGTAGGAGAAGAGGAGGTTGTAAACCTACTGGAACTTTCTGTCTATGCTCAATTCACACAGTCTAGGCCCAGCAAGTATCAATCATTAAAGCATGGACTGAAGTGTAAGTAACAGTAATTAAACTTCAATGGTGGTCCAGCTCTGAAACATCCCTTCTTCCTACCCCTTCCTGCAGTTCATACTTTTAGGGACCACAGGGAAGTGTGAGACAGGAGAATGACTGGAAAGAAAGTTAGAGGAGGAGACAGCAGGAGAGGTCGCTATCTCTTGGATCCCATTGAACAGGAGACAAACAGGAACGCTATCTCTTGGATCCCATTGAACAGGAGACAAACAGGAACCAACATCTAACAGGGATTTTTATCTTCACCGTGTGCTATAGGACTGTGGTTTCTGCTCACAGGCTGTGTTCCAGGGAGTCAGCTTCAGGCTAGAGACTCAATAACTCATTCATGATTCAACCTATGGTGCAGCCTGCCCTGTATGGAGTAGAGTGGCCCCTTCCTTTGCTAATACTTCCACTGCATTGTTGAGTCTGCTAACACTTCCAACAGTAGTAAGAATGTGTAAGGTCTTGTTAAGGAAAACAATCAGTGAGCATTGTTCTTTCCAAGGCTACAAAATTTGAGTACAGCAGCCATGGAAACAAAATTTTTAATAATCTTTCCCAAAGGTATCTTTTTCTCTTTCTTTTAATACCATTGTCTTGGCAAAAATCTCACTCCCTTCAGTGATGGTTAGTTCTATATATAGTGGAAGCACAGGTGGAGGCTGCAAAGGGTTATTCCCAGCCCCCTGTGGCTCAATTTCCATCTCCCTGGAGAGCTTGTGGTATTCATGGAGCCAAGTCTCCCTGTTCAGGCCCTGCCCGCAGTGGTTCTATTTATGGGAACTGCCTCGTGATGAGCCTGTGCTGGAGGCCAGCCGGCTGGGATGACAGATGTCCCTTCCAGTCATAGTAGGGACGCCCTGGAATTGTCTGTACCATATCAGGAATGAGCAACCAGATACACATGGGCTTCATTTAGGAATCGAATATCATTTTAATGTGCTCTTAAGTATTAAGAGGGATTCTTCCCACTTGCTTCTACTTTGAATCCGACACATCTTTGATGCACGTTGCAGCTTCACATTTAAAGGCTCTCTGAAAATCTTTGGTACTTTTCCCCTTTCCTTTCTTGTGGTGATACAGTAGGCATGTCATATCATAGTATAGCATCCACATCCTGGGCTTTGCAACCCAAGACAAGCCTAATAGGAAAATAATCAGAAGGCGTATTTTCCACGTGCTTTAGTAAAATAAAAATATGTGTGTTCTACGTACTTTAGGTACTTAAAATATTACTAAAACTAAAAGCAATATATTACACTATTTTTTTTTTCTATATTAAAGGAAAGGGTGAGGATATCCTGTCAGGGAACTAGATCAAATACAGCACTTGTGTTTTTTAGCTGATTTTAAAACACATGGTTTTGCCTTTGATGTGCTTAAAGTGCTCCTTGGAAAGAGATTTTGGAGGGTGTCTAGTCCAAAGCCTTCATTTTTCAGGTGAGAAAACTGAGTTATATATGAACCTTTATTGGACACCAACATGTCTGTCACTTGCTAAACTTAAGAGTACAGCGTTTGCTTAATGTTTTAGTCCCATCCAACCACTGCATGGTCTGATGTTAAATGTAGCCTTTTTCTATGCTTTCATCTGCTATCCCTATTTTCAGGCATATCTATTATAAACTCTTTGTATGATCTAATATAATAGCATATTTCATTTGATGTTTAAACAAAAATTACTTTCCTGACTATGCCGTGCCTAACTTACATGGTCTTAAGTGCACTGAAGGCTCTTAGAAAAGGACTTGGTACCTCATGGCAAAATAAGTGAGGTGCTCTAAATGTGATTTTTTGGATGTGATATGATATTCCTTAAAGACAAAGAACTATGGTTTTGTGCCTTGATTATCTTTGGGTGAAATATTATTTTTTCCCTCATTTTATATGCTTTGTAAAACATAGGAAATCATAAAACCTCGTTTTCTCCACGTGATCAGTCAGAACAAGCCCAGGAGCCAGCTGTAGAATAGACCATCAATTGCTCATATGCAAGTTCAAGTTGAAGCTGAAGAAAGTGTAAACAAGTCCATGAGAGCCAAAATACGACTTGAGTATGTCCCACCTGAATTTAGAGGCCATCTCAGGAAAAGATTTGACACATTAAACATTAATGACTGAAGACCAGACTATTTGTGGGATGACATCAAGGACATCATACATGAAGAAAGCAGAAGGTCATTGTTGTGGGTTGAATTGTGTCCCCCAAAAATGTGCATCAACTTGGCTAGGCTGTGATTCCCAATATTGTGTGGTTGTCCTCCCTTTTGTGATCTGATGTATTTCTCCTATGTATTGTAAATCCTAACCTCTATGATGTTAATTAGGCAGGATTAGAAGCAGTTATGTTAATGAGGCAGGACTCAATCTACAGGATTAGGCTATGTTTTGAGTCAACCTCTTTTGAGATATAAAAGGGAGAAGCAAGCAGAGAGGAAAGGAATGTCATTACCACCAAGCAAGAACAGCTCGGAGCAGAATGTGTCCTTTGCACCTGGGGTCCCTGCACCGAGAAGCTCCTAGACCAGGGAAAGATTGTTGACAGGGACTGTCCCACAGAACCAAAAGAGAGAGAAAGCCTGCACCTGGAGATGGTGCTCTGAATTTGGACTTACAGCCTCCTAAACTGTTAAATAAAATTCTGTTTCTTATAGCCATCCGCTTGTGATATTTCTATTATAGCAGCACTAGATAACTAAGACGGTCATTAAAAAAGATGGAAAAGAAAGAAAAGACCAAAATGGAGTCAGAAGAGACTCTGAAACTTGCTCTTGAACGTAAAGCAGCTAAAGCAAATAGAAGAAATAATGAAGTAAAAGAGCTGAACAGATTTTGAAGGGTGCCTCAAGAAGATAAAGTAAAGTATTATAATGAAATGTAAAAAGACCTGGAGTTAGAAAACCAAAAGGGAAGAACATTCTCAGCATTTCTCAAGATGAAAGAACTGAAGGAAAAATTCAAGACTCGAGATGCAGTAATAAGGGATTCTATGGGCAAAATACTGTCCAACACAGGGAAACATCAAAAGAAGATGGAAAGAATACACAGAGTCACTGTACCAAAAGAACTGGTCAGTGTTCAGCCATTTCAGTAGGTAGCATATGATCAAGAACTAATGATATTAAAGGAAGAAGTCCCAGCTGCACTGAAGGCATTGGCGAAAAACAAGCCTCCAGGAATTAACAGAATACTGATAGAGATGTTTGCAGCACTGGAGGTGCTCATTCGTCTATGCCAAGAAATTTGGAAGACAGCTACCTGGCAAACCAACTGGAAGGGATCCATATTTGTTACCATTCCAAAGAAAGGTAATCCAACAGACTGTGGAAATTATCAAACAATATCATTAATATCACACACAAGTAAAATTTTGCTGAAGATCGTTCAAAAGCAGTTGCAGCAGTACATCAACAGGGAGCTGTCAGAAATTCAAGCTGGATTCAGAAGTGGACTTGGAACAAGGGATATCATTGCTGATGTCAGATGGATCTTGGCTGAAAGCAGAGAATAACACAAAAGTGTTTACTTGTGTGTTATTGACTATGCAAAGGCATTCAACTATATGGTTCACAATAAATTATGGATAACATTGCGAAGAATGGGAATTCCAGAACACTTAATTGTGCTCATGAAGAACCTGTGTGTAGACTAAGAGGCAGTTGATTGAACAGAACAAGGGGATACTGCATGGTTTAAGATCAAGAAAGGTGAACATCAGGGTTGTATCATTTCACCATACTTATTCAATCTGTATGCTGAGCAAAAAATCTGAGAAACTAGACTATATGATAAAGAACACAGTATGAGGACTGGAGGAAGACTCATTAACAACCTGCCTTATGCAGATGACATAACCTTGCTAGCTGAAAGTGAAGAGGACTTGAAGCACTTACTGATGAAAATCAAAGACCGCAGCCTTCAGTATGGATTACACCTTAACATAAAGAAGACAAAAGTCCTCACAACTGGACCAATAAGCAACATCATGATAAGTGGGCAAAATATTGAAATTGCCAAGGGTTTCATTTTACTTGGATCCACAGTCAATGCCCATGAGAGCAGCAGTC